TTATTGTTCCATTTTAGAGATATAGTACAGTTACATTCATTGTTGGGATCTTGTACCTCTACATGGCAGGTCTTGGTTCTCATTTTTTCCCCTTGTCCCTGCCCTCTCTTCACCCCCTCTTCCCCTCCCCATTTACAAGCACTTTATTTACATCTTTTCTTTATCTCACATTTTTTTTCTTTTCCCTTATTTCCCTTCTCCTATCCATCCCACCTTCCCTATACCTTTAGCCCTTTTCTTCCCATTTCACAATGTCATTATTTGCTGATGATATGATGCTGTACATTGAAGACCCAAAAAACTCCACCAAAAGACTTCTAGACTAAATTGACAGATTCAGTAGAGTAGCTGGATACAAGGTGAACACCCCAAAATCAATAGCCTTCTTATACACAAATAACGGTCTCACTGAGAGAGAAATAAGGGAAAAAAAATTCCTTTTACAATAGCACCCACAAAAATGAACTATCTAGGAATCAATCTAACAAAAGAAACAAAAGGTCTCTACACTGAAAACTATAGCACTCTGAAAAAAGAGATCAAAGATGACATAAAAAAAATGGAAAGATATCCCCTGCTCCTGGGTAGGAAGAATCAACATAGTGAAAATGGCCATACTACCAAAACTGCTATACAGATTCAATGCAATGCTGATTGAAATTCCAACACTATATTTCACAGAACTAGAAAAAAGAATCCAAAAATTCATTTGGAACCATAAGAGACCTAGAATAGCAAAAGCCTTCCTAGGCAACAGACACATGGCAGCGGGTATAACAATTCCCAATTTGAAACTATACTACAAAGCCACTGTGATAAAAACAGCATGGTACTGGCAAAGAAACAGACCTGAGGATCAGTGGAACAGACTGGAAGACACAGAAACAAATACAGATGTACTCAGCTACCTCATCTTTGACAAAGGAGCTGACCATACTCAGTGGAGGAAAGATAGCCTCTTTAATAAATGGTGTTGGAAAAACTGGATTTCAACCTGCCACAGATTAAAACTGGACATTTATCTTTCACCATGCACTAAATTAAAATCCAAGTGGATTAAAGATCTAAATATTAAAACAGAAATATTAAACTTGCTTTAAGGTAAGTTAGGCATAACTCTGGAAGACATTGGCATAGGAAAAGACTCTATTAACAAGTCCTCAGTAGCACGGGAACTAGTGGAAAGAATCAACAACTGGGATCTCATCTTATTAAAAAGCTTCTGTACTGCAAAAGAAACCAACAGCAGAACTAAGAGACAACCTACAATGTGGGAAAAACTTTTTACCAGCTGCTCCTCAGACAAAGCACTATTATCTAGAATATATAAAGAACTCAAATCAATCAGCCCCCCCAAATATAAAGACCCAATTAAAAAATGGGCATCTGAAATGAACATACATTTCTTAGACAAAGAAGTAAAACCAGTAAGTAAATATATGAAAAAATGTTCCACATCACTGGTCATTCGAGAGATGCAGATAAAAACAACACTGAGATTCCACCTCACCCCACAAAGAATGGCTGCTATCAAGAAATCACACAACAACAAATGTCGGCGGGGTTGTGGGGAGAAAGGAACCCTTCTCCATTGTTGGTGTGAGTGCAGACTGGTGCAACCACTATGGAAACCAATATGGAGATACCTCAAAGAGCTTGGACTGGAGGTTCCATTAGACCCAGCCATCCCTCTTCTGGGTATCTTTCCAAAAGAACTAAAAGAATCATATCATAGTGATGTATGCGCACCCATGTTTATAGCTGCACAGTTTGTAATAGCTAAAATTTAGAAACAGCCCATTTGCCCATCAGTTGGAAACTGGATAAAAAAGATGTGGTTTTTCTATAAAATGGAATATTACTCAGCCATAAAGAATGGGAAAATAGATTCCTTCATAGGAAAGTGGATGCATATTAAAGGTATACTCCTAAGTGAAATAAATAAGTCACATATGTGTAAATACAGAATAGTTTTTCTGGTCTGAATAAACTGCAATAATACATAAGATCCTAATAAGATTACTGACATAATGGGTGTCTTTTTAAAATCAGGAAAAAGTAATTAAATTTTTTATAAGAAAGGTATTTTTTTAAACCAATGGGAAAAATTATCAAGTACTAGATATGGTCAAATATCCTTCCTAAGTTATATTCCTGCTGGCAGTCTGTATAAATTCCTGAGACACCGGTTTACAACCTGACTTTCCCTTTTTTCTTGTGATGGCTGGAGAGGGGCATGGTTTAACCAAAATCTGTTGTACTTCTCCCACTTGCTTCATTTCCTCTAGATCCTGTGAGCATGGAGTGGAACATCTTTCCTCAGTGTCCTCCTATAGACCTAAGTGCTATTTAGCCCCTTCTTTCTGGGCCACCCTAACAATAGGTATAGCTGAGCTGTCACCATGATTCCCAGCTTCTCCCACTCGAGACACTGCTGCCACCTTTCTGAAGAAGAAGCCAGGTAACCATCCCTAATTGCCTTTTGTTTTGAAGATGACAAAACATATTTTCCTTTTTTCAGTACCAGAGATCAAACTCGGGTCCTTGCTCTTGTGAGGCAGACAGCGGAACCACTGAGCTAAATCCCTGGCCTGACAAGACAAAACATATTTTGAAGTAATTATTATCCCAGGAAATTTAAATACAATTGATTTCAACATATGTGGAAAATTTTCCTTCAATTTACTGTAAGTTTTAATTATCATCCTCTGTCTTGTATCCAGAATATTTTTTTTACTTTATTTGTCTTTTCAGAATAATTTAGTCAATCTTAATGCCATTCATTGATTGTTTTTTTTTGTACCGGGGATCGAACTCAGGGACTTTGCGCTTGCAAGGCAGGTGTGGCCCCACAGAGTGGACCACTGAACTAAATCCCCAGCCTCCATTTAGTGATTCTAATGTAAACATGTGGTGAAGTAATACAGATACACTTTTACATGTTGATTAAAAATTATTGACTGAATTTCTATAGTTGGTCTTCAAAATACTTGATAGAGCTTTTAAGAGATATGGGATTGGTCCCTTCTGACCTTTTTTAGAGTTAAATGACAAATATAATCATCCAATCATATTATTTAAAAAATAAATACCATTGAAGGATTTTTAAATGCAATTTGCAAAATACAGTAACATATTGGATATGTTTAAACTGGTTTAAATCAGTTTGAATATGTTTAGTTGTTATTTTTATATACTCTGAAAATTTGGTAGTTGGTCAAGGAAATGCTATATAACAAATTCTCCACCTATATAGCCAACATAGATAGGCATAAAAGGGTAAAGTCGGGAGAATTTGTGTAGCCATTTGCTTCTCTTCATATAGAAATTACACAGAGTAATATGCATAATTTCACTATTTTCTCTTACATTTCTGTTCTGGAAGCAAAGCAGGACAAAAAATCACTGCCAGAAATCAATCTATAATATTTCAACTGTGTATGCGTTTCTCATATCTTTTCATTTCAACTGTTTTTTATTCCAAATATACTTGCACTTGCAAGTCCTTTATTTTTAGATGATGATATTTACTCTGCTCATTTTTTTATTTAAAATATTGGAAGAGTAAGCTTTTATATCATGAGATGTGCTCAGAGTTCTACTAAGGGAGGTTGCTGTATGAATGAGAGTCATTGATTAGCATGGGTTAGGCTCAATAAACAAGAAATAAGTGAAAGATTAGTGAGTTGAAGGCTGGATTGTGAGAATAGTAGGTGTTAAAAACACTTCTGGAGACTAACTGTGCTATTTCATAATGTATCTGAGACAACCTTTTTATCAAGTATTCCCTGAGCTAATGACATTTCTAAATTCAGCAACAATAACACTGAAAGCCCAAAAGCTAAATATTCATTGGCAATCACTTACTCTGCATTGCAGAATAAAATGCTTCAATATGTTTACAGAGTTTTAAAAGTTTTTTTTGATATTTGTGTTGCATGTATTTTCTTGTCAAATAAAAATAATTATCACAATTTAAATAGTAAATTGTGTATTTTTCTGTTATCTTCCTTTCATAATAGGTTTAATAAGTGATATTAAATGTTTTTCAAGAAAAATCATGTCTCATTCGTAGTATCACTAAATAAAGGTTTCTCTTCTGTGTGGTTCCGGAAATCAAGCACAAGGCCTTAAACACACAAAACAACTGCTTTAGCCCTGAGCTCCATCCTTTGGACCCTCAAATTTTGATAATCACCCTAAGTAAAAGTTATTTTAATGCCATGTACAGGTATTGTTCTACTAAATCTCAATGAGGATATAATTCTTTTTAAAAAATAATTTTGAAAAATATAATTAGTTATTATATGCTTTTAGCTATTTTATATATGGCTGAAAACTTGGTATCTTGGTAATAGAAACTGAGTCAAAGATACTTAAAAAACAAAACTGAACAAAATTTGAATCTAATACCATGACATATTAAATTAGTACTAGATAAGTCAGCTGAGAGAGGTGTGTATGGAATATTCAGGGACTTTGGAAATAAGAGTATTGTTTCTCACTCATTACTTGAAAAATTAGTTTTGTGTATTTATGTCTTTTTAATAAACTAGATTTATTTTTGAAATTAACTTTATTTTTCTTCTTCTTATTATTATTTGTACCAGAGATAGAACTCAGGTCCTTGCACTTGTGAGGCAGGCGGTGGAACCACTGAGCCAAATCCCCCACTGAAATTAACTTTAAAAATAATTTAATAAAATCTTACTATGTGAGAACACTTTTTTCTGTACATTGTAAGTGTTGTATGGGAGTTAGGACTTTGGAAAATATAAATCAAGACCAATATACTGATTAGGGGGTTAAAATAATTTACAGAATTAATTTAATAAAATGCCTAGAACAATAACTAACAATTATTAACAAAACAACAATGAAGCTGTCTGCATTTTCATTTAACAACACATTTAAGGCAAATATTGTATATAAAAATAATATGCAATAAACTAATATCTCACACAAGATACAATAAAATTACTGTCCACATTGAAGATAAAAAATTATGACAATATGCCTTCTTAAAACCTACAATTTCCTGGTTGTCAGAAAAAAAAATCTGTTTATGTCGAGCACAGATTACTGTTGCCTAATAAGATGTCAGTTGGAATAGTTGGGCTTTTTGCAAAAGAGAATACTACATTTTTCCTACCATGCCAGGTAAAATAAGTTAATATATTTATCTTAACAAAAGGCTCATACAAACTCCAAACTACAATTTGCGTGTGTTTTTAATTTTTAGTACTAACTCTGATTCTTAAAGATATCTGCAATTGACATTCTAATTCTCATGCTGTTCCTAAAAGGAACAATATATTTGTCCTGAATGTGCTACTGTGATTCACCCCTAAAATTTACTTTATATGGAGAAGTTTCATCATTAAAACCCTACCGCTTAAGTGCATGTGTGTGTGTGTGCGTGCGTGTGTGTGTGTGTGTGTATCAAGATTGATTCTTCGATACTTTATAGAACAAGCACAGAGGTTGATATCAGATGACTGGTTGTATACATCTAACTTTATACTTATGTAAAGGCTCTGTGCCTTTGTTCCTGGACTAGAAAATGAGAACCTTCTCAGTTTCCAAGGGCGGCATGGAATTTAGAAAGAGCCAGTGCACATGCCTAACACAGAGCTCAGAGAAGTACTGAGCACTTCCATTGTGAATGCCTTTTCCTCTCTCCATCGTTCCTGGCATATCTTGGATATTTGGAGATTAGTGAGAAAATACACTAAAAGATACCAGAATAAATCAATTTCACTGAAAGACTTATCTACATTGCAGGCAAGAGTTAATACATTTCCAAAGTAACATTCAGTGAGATCAAAACATTGGTTTCAAAAATGTATTTACACTTTACAGGGAGATGTCTTTCAGGTCAACAATGAGAAAATGAACAAATAAGCTGTGTCTGTGTGTAGAGTTTAATTTTGTGAAAGCAAAGAAATATACCAATTTTATTAACTGTTCAGTGTTCATGGACAGTTAACAGAAACAAAGCTACTTCATAGAGCAATCTACATGAACATCAAAAAATATTAAAATAGAGATTCTCTAAAGGAAAGAGTCTTTAATGGGATTGATAATACTTAGTAGTTCCCATTATTTGTCCATGAAAGCTAAGAAAGGTGCTATTTCAAGCAGAATTCTAGTAGAACTTGGCACATAAGTTTTAACTTTTCAAGCAACCATTACTCTTCATTTTCTTGTAGGTTCACTCACTCAGACGATCTCACATATACACACATTAATATTAAAAACATACATGGCTACTGAGCAGAAAATTCATCCTAAAATTACATTTTCTACAACAAAAGCAGGTCATCACGTTTATGTCCAATGTCTCAGTCAAGGAAATGGGTTTTCCTCATGGAGATCCTGATTAACATTTGTTAACTATTATGTTCACTATTTCAAAAGGTGTGTTTCTAGGAAGAACTGTAGGATCATGTGCAAGAATTCTAAGGCAATATAAGTAGTTGTTCCACAGGAAATATATGTATTTGCCTTTGCAATGATATACTCGATATACTTCACAAGTCTTTACTCTTCAAATGCTACAAGCCAGACATATGGAGACATTCAGAGTCTACAGTTGGCTCAAAGGTCAAAAAATTGTTTAAAAATAAGTTTATGGAATAGCACCATAGGAAGTCTTTCTGAAAAAACATCCTTTTTTTTCAACATTGCATTTTTTGAACTGAATTCCAGGAAGCAAAGAGAGAGAGAGAGAGATTTTAAATTCTCACAAGGGCCACTTCTACTTTGTTCTATCTTTTAAACACACTAACCATGACATCAACAACAATAACTACAAAAAAAATACATCATTAACAAAAGAAAGACAATAGCAGCAGTAGTAATTTGAACATGAATCATCCAGGCAGTCTTTTAGAAGAATCCTGCACACACTTCATGGGCGTTTTCTCATAAGATCATAAGACATCACAGGCTTCTTAGATTTGTTGTGAAAAGGCAGCACTTACATAGAAAAAGCTGAGTTTACCAATTAACTGGGCATTTTAAGTAATTAGACAAATGATGTCTAGACTTTAACTGCATTAATCGATACTATCAATGCTTTGAATTTGTCAAAATGTAAGTACAATGAAGTGGTCTCAATATCATTTATGTTTTGAAGAGGTTAAGCTGGCCTGCAAGTGAAAATAATGAAGTTAAACTATTCCAGTTTCCACACACACACACACACACACACACACACACACACAGTACAAACCACCCTCCAAAGACTCCCACTTCACATCATTTATATGAATCTGGTTTACACTGTATCAGAGATACAAAGTCAAAGCAATTATGCTAAAAGAAAAAGGTTTTCCAATTTATGACCTGCAAGATCACGGCATGTCCCCAAATCTTGAAAAATAGTCAAAAAGACACCCTGCAGGGTAACAGCCCCGGAATTGAACTGTCTGAATCATGAAGCCTCTGTTTCAAGCTGTGAACACAAGCTGATGGACACTTTCTTGAAGCACGTCCACGAAATTTTTTAATGCATCAAGCACGGAGCTCAGATATTCTTGTAATGCTGGGCAGCATTAGCTGGAAACTCTTCTAGTACAATTAGTGTAACTTTGATCGTACAGTTTTCTTTTGTTCAAACTCACTATATAAAACATTTGTACTAATGTCGTCAGTTAAAAAAAGATATGACTTCTCTCCACTGTGCACATTCCTTTAGGTTCTGAGAGAGGTGCGGGTGTTATTTTTTGGTATGCATGCTTTCTGGATATCTTATGCTCTTGTATCTTATATAAAATCCTTTCTTGTTGATTGTGTCATCGGTGTGAAAATGAATTAAAACTGCATCCCCAATTGAATAGATTTCTTCTGGTGGCTGAAGAAAAAAAAAAGAATGAGTCATTTTTTTTCTTCAATGCAATGTATTTTTGAGAATTTTTTCTTTGTAATATAATTGAATCCTCCCAACAACCTTGAAAAACAGATGAGACTGACTTCACAGATGAGGAATCTTCACATTCAGAAAACAATAACGTGCTAGAGATCATGTGCTTAGTGCTATAGTTGGGTTTTAAACATCCATTCCTCCATTTCTAAGTTTTAAACACATTCTAGAATTTAGTATTTTTTCCACTGAACCTTTAAGCCAGGTTCTTTTGATATACAAGTAAATAAAGTGAGATTCAGAAATGGCATATAGAATAAATTTGTTTCAGAAGTTACTCCGAGGCAGAATCTAAATTTTTCCATTGTTGTATTAGGTATGAAAGTCAGTGTCTTTATGCTGAGCTGCATCTTCAGCCTTTTCACTTTTTGAGAAGAGATTTCACACAGTTGCCCAGGCTGGCCTCTAATTTGGCAAGCCTCCTATCTCAGCCTCCCAAATAGTGGGGATTACAGGTGTGTGCTCAGTCATTACTTCTTGTTATAATGGCCTAAGTATTAAGAAACTTTTTTGGTTTTTAGCTATTACTTGGGCACCAATTCAACAGTATTATTTAAATAGAGATTAGTGGACTCAAAAACTTGGGAGTAACATCTTCACAGCAAAATATGTATTCAGAAAACTATTTAATATTACTGCATTGAGTCACGGGGGAAAAGCAATGAGGAAATGTTACGCTCTTCTTGCTCTTCTCTCTCACAATGACCTCTTCTGACCTGTTCACGGGTCTCTTTACTTGCACACATGACACTGTGCCATGAAATACTTCTCCCAGCAATGAGCCCAGACTCTGGTGGCTTATCTTATCATTCTCGCTGAAAGTATTTGTTGAGAAGCTAATGTGAATTAGATGATTAGATGCTGTACATATACTTCTTTTCCCTGTAAATTTTCAGTTAGGAAGGTGACCACATTTTTAAGGGTATGCTTTCAAGTATTTTGCTTTTAGGTTGTTAAGTACTTAAATATTCATTGTACAGTATAAAGAACATGAGAAATAGCAATAAACTCTAAGTAGTAAATTCATCTGCTTATCATGAAATTATCAGGCAAATCCAATAGAGAAGTGAGAAGGGTAGCAGAGCCAAACTATATTTCATCAAGTCATTAAAAGTAAAATGTAAATTATTTGGGAGATATTATCAATTCATAAATGTTAGACCTAACCATCATTAGTCACAGTCATTTTAAGCTAGGTGAGGGTATCCTTTTGGTAGTATATTCACTTACTCCAGATCCGCAGAATCGCCCAAGCCCCACGGCTGTGGAATCGAGACCATCAAAGAGTTCAACATAGTCATAGCCACAGTCAGCCTCTTCTTCCACTTCAAAGGCCTGGAAAGATAATTCAAGTCGAGAGCCTCGTTCTGATACTAGCAACCACTCACAGTCGACCTGTCCTGGATAGTTGTTATCACCGAACTGTGCATGAGAGTAGAGATCTCTGGATTTTGGTTCTGCTTTCAATCGACCACCACACTCTGCCAGGAAAGAAAAACGAAATGAAAAAGTTCAGTGAGCTTTCCCGGGTTCAATTCAGTGTCAATGTATTCTACTTGTCCTCTAAGTTTGTTTCACTTCCACCACCAGACGTGTATCCAGCACTGCAGCCTGAGAGAGTGTGACGGTGACAACTGGCACAGGTTCCAGACAGAGGCTGCCCAGGTAGAACCTGAGCTCCAACACACACTAACGCCACTGCTGGCAAACGATGCCACTTCTCTGATCCTCTGTTTTATCAAGAGTACATAACAGATGATGATAATGGCAGCAACGTTAGTAGGCTTTCAGAATGTAATAAGTGAAAATCATGGAATAATGCTCGGTAATGTTGTTACTGTTACATCTAATATTGTTTTGATTCTCTAGTAATTACTTTGATGGAGAAAAGACCAGTGCTCGTTTTGGCAGGACATATTCTAAAATTGGAACGAGAAAAGGCCAGGAAGTTAATTTGATTTTAATATTATTAATGGCAGAACTTAAAATTCAAAGAAATAAGAAACAACTTAAAAATCAATAAAATGTTTAAAATGTATGGATGTATGAGCATGTACATGCTGCATAGAACTTTCTGGATGTCTACATAACTGTGTTCTGTTTTCAGGGGGAAATAACTGGTCAGGAAAGGCATACACACATAATGAATTACAGTTGTTTTGGTAATTCCAGAACCCTATATTCAATTATAGGTTCTGTGCCTGCTATAATAAAAGAAATTAAATGCAGTATTTGGCTGCTTTTTTACAGAGATATTAGTAAACATATGTTCTATCAGTTATTGTCACTAGAGGAAAATATATCAAAGAAATAAATCTGTGAGCATCAGTTACAATTTAGATAATAAACGTTTCAAAAAATTGTCTCAGCATCCCTTTATTACCCCCAAAATGTTATAACTGAGACTTAACAAAAGCACTGAGAGGCTGTCTTTATGAGGGGTGATCAAAACTGCAGTGAAAAGCAGACTTATCAAAACATTACTGTGGTCTGTTTCACCTTATTCACCATATCTGGCACCATGTGACTTTTGTGTCTTTCCAATGTCAAAATGACCATGAAAAGTACATATTTTGAACTGATTTAGGACAGTGAAACAAAAGATATAAAAGAGGAGTTCCACGACTACTTCAGAAAGTAGCAAGGGGACAAGTGTGTTCAAAGCAAGGAGGAAAATATTGAAAGATTAATGGCAATGTGTCCTTTATCATAATAAAATTTTTACTTAAATATTAGCTATATATATTTTTTTTCCTTCTGTACTGGGGATCAAATTCAGAACCTTGTGCTTGTGAGGCAGTCAGCAAAACCACTGAGCTAAATCCCAGCCCTTAACTATATATTTTTAATCACACCTCATGGACATGTGGGGAAATGTGTTAAAACCAAAAACTGAATTCCAATAAATTTGGGGATTTTATTTCCCTAGTCTCACACAGTGGAAGTTAACTATACCCGCTTTTCCTTCATAGTACTTTTCTTATTTTACTAATTCCAAGAATCAATGTTCTGTCCCTGAAACAGCCATTTATTTCTTGGCGAAATATTACATTTGAGTCAAATTGCCTGGGTGTAGATCCAAGCTCCGTCCTTTGTCCCACAACTTCTTTTATATATATTTTTTTTTTTAAATTTTGTGCTCTAAATTGAACTCAGGGCCTTCCACATACCAAGCATTTGCTCTACCACAGTTATGCGCTCCACACCTCAAGATTTCATTTCTAAAAATGAAGACCATACATAGTACCCACATCATAAGTTCTAGACGAAAAGCAAATGAGTTAACATATACAAAAGCTTGAATGTTGCCCGGTACATATTGAAAAGCCATAGTAAATAGTATTTAACAAGTCATTATTATAATTGTTATTTTTCTGAAAGAACATTTAAATGCTAGCATCCACTCAGGTATGAAATGAAAAGGCAGAAAAGTGGAAAAATTAAAATACTATTAGTCCACTATTAGAAAGCAAAAATTATATTTCTGATGACAAGAAAAACATTTTGTGCAAAATATTTCTGCATTCATTATAGAAACAGGTAAACCAGACTAATGTAATTTGTCAGTATTTAAAAATCTATCAGTTATCTAAGTTTGATATAATTGAAGGATTTGTTTTTCACTTTCAAAAGATTGTCGGCATTTGTACTTTTTTTTGGTCCCCAGGCTAGGAGAAATTGAAGTGGGTAACCAGGACATACGGGGAGGTCCTTGGTTTGGAGTGCCTGCTTTACATTACATACAAGGTGGGGGGATTCAAGCCAAGATCTGGGCAAAGAAATCCTTTATCAGTTCCAGCTAGAAAAAAATCAAGGAGGATGTAATGAAGTGAGCTAAATGAGAAAAGAGATTTCACAATCTTTATGAACATAAAAGTCACAGAAAGGAGGTGCTATTTGGTTTTATTGAAAATTGACCTATTTTAAAAAAATGCTTTAAATGACATTTATGACTAATTTTAAATGCTCTAAAAATTCTTTCATTTTTCTGTTGCAGTGTGCAGCTTCATTCCTATAAATCACTACTCCTAATAAATTTGGAAGTTATGTTCTAACCATGAAAAAAAAAGGATTTAACCTACAGCATTAATTTTTTAAAGGTACACATTTGAATATTATGTGTGTAAGATGTGTTTTAATACAACCTGAGAGAGATTCCATGAGCAATAGGTGATGCGTAGCACGAGGGAAGTTACTTTAGTCACTATGAAAATCCTCATGGCTAATCAAACTCTAGTCACTGCAGCACTTAACAGGTGCATTTAAAGAGTTTTTAACTTGAGTCAATATATTTTTTTCATAGAATGTCCCTGTTCATTTACTAAATCAGAAAAAAATATGAAACAAGTCCTTCAGTATGTCAGTGGTATGATTTTTAAACTAACAGTTGGAGGCAATTAAAAAGCTGCTGGACCTTCTACAGGATTCTGGTAAATGGAAAATGGAGGCCAATGAATAATAGTATCAGAAAAATAAGCCGAGTGTGGTCTTCATTTTAATTTGAAAAGACATGTTTGTTTATTCTTCTTGAGGTATTACATTTCTGGAAGAGGTCCTGCAATTTGACATACAAATGCTTTAGTGGACATTCTTATTTCCTTGATGTTGATCAAAATAATTTTCTTTCCAAGTTGCATAATACTACATTCAATGATTTTTTTTAAATGTCAAGGACAAATGGTATGATGTCTTATATTACAGAAAAGATGCCCTAATAGACAATAGCATATTTTTAAAAAAATTTGTTGTCTCTCAACTTTTCTCCCCAATATCTGTTATAGGCATATCTTTTGAGAAAAAGAAAATGAATAATTTTTTCTCCAAATTTTTTTTTCTTTCGGTTAGTTTATGTATTGCTAGGGCAATACCATTTATTATCTGATTAGGGTGAATTTATATTTAGAATTTGAATCAACTGTCACGAGGACAAAAGGACTCTTTCTAATAAAGTCCATTTTCCATGACTTAGTTTTACTGTGGAAATAATTATAAAGCTATGCTACAGCTATTTTTTAAGTCATCTATTTATAATACTAGAAGTTTTTGCTGTGTACAAAATTGAAAATTATATGCAGAAATATAAATTTAAGCATATTAAAATACATGCTTGAGTGCCCAACAGTAATGGCTACATCTAGTCTAGAAGGCAGAAAATAGTGCATAAATGTAGGAAAAGTTGACAGCTGTGGTTTGCATTTGGCTGTCTTGTTAACAGAAACTGAAAGATGAACTGAAAATCAAGCTTAAATTAGAATAAGCTGTTGACAGTCAGGAATTTATTCTACTGTTTTATGAAATCCTCTAAAATCTTGATTTGGTCTTACAAATTATTAATGCATTACATTGTCTATCCAAAGCAGATTAGAATAGTTACACTTGTTAAAGTGAATGCTTTGAAGAGGCTGCATAAGGATGTCAGCCTGGCTTGCACAGAAAGTAATAGTATTAAAAATAATCTAACCAGAAAATGCCAGGATAGCTGGATAGATCACATCAAATATTTATAAATAACAGTAACAAAGAAACACATCATGCAAAAATTTTGACAGGAGTAAATGATGAGATATTGTGAAGCGAGTACTCTTAGTTCCAACTGTTACTAACTTCTGTGCTCCTTCAGTTTTTAGCCTCAGCTCACGCATGTTGGAAATGTCAGGGCTGGACTAAAAATATCCAAGACTGTTTTGTTGAAAACAATGTGACTGGGATTTGCTCAGTAAGTATTTGAATCAATTGAATTGAACAGAGAAGCAAAATAAGCCTCTTTAGTTAAATATTTAAACACAGGGTTTGCTTAAAACCTATACAAACCTCCTACAAGGAAGCAATCATTCCTAACCTATTGTTCCAAATCACAATAGATACAGGTTTTTTTAATTAGTTTTGAAAGTTTTACATAGAGAAAATGCAATATGTGGAAAATATATTAGCTTTGGACACAAAATTATGGTAAAACCTGAGCTTTGACACTTTTATTTTTACAATCTTTTTTTACTGTTTTTTAATTCTTGTAATACACAATAATTACATGCAACTTGAGAAATTGGTATATATATTAAACCTTTGGAAATTAATTATCCAATTTTCATTTCCATCATTTCCAAAAGTGAAGATGATAATCTCCATTGCATATAGTTCCAGGGAGACTTCTGTGTATGTAAATTGCAAATTGAATAAATAGAATCTAAATAGGATGCATAGGTAGAGGGCATAAAGTTTAGGAACTCATGAACTGTTGGAGCTGTAACTCTGAGATCATTATTTTCAGATGACACACCTGGGACCCAAGGAAATGGCCTTTTCCAAAGTTTCCTCCTAAGTCACACTTGGAATAAGGAGCCAGAGGTACTGACCCACTATTTCATTTGTTCTCAATACTCTCATTTACAAAGACTGTAAAGAAAAACTCTACAAATAAGTTTTGATAAAAATTACAGACAGTACTATACAATCAGCTATTTCAAGAATTTTGTTCTTGACAATGTATTTTCATACTGCATTCTTGACAGCTGAGATAGCCATGATATTTCCTTAAATTCCAAGAACTTTGTGCTATAACAAAATATTGTTAAAATACAGTAGGAAGATTCAATTTTTTTCTGTCCCTTTAGTGTTTATGGCATTGGGAATATACATAAAGTGTAAATACCAAATACTTCATATGAACAATTTCATCAATATAGTATTTCTATGGTTCATGAAAGATTTTTCTCAAGCTGTAACATTTGTGTTAATAAAGAGAAACAAAATATGATGAACAAGAGTCCAATAAATACTGGTATAAACCATATAGATGTTCTGACAAGATGTATCGACTTTCTCAGACTTTAGGTCTACTGCTAACAATATAGTGAAATACAATATTGGGTAATTAAATAGTTAAAACAAGATTTATAAATCAAAGTGAAACAAAATAAAACAATCAGCAGGAGACAATGATAAATATCACCAATTTTATGGATGAACATGCATTTCTGTTATCAATCTTTTGTGGATTACAATGCCACTAGGTGTCAGTATAAGCTAAAAAAATTCAAATATTTGCTATTAACTTTTTTTTTCCAAATTTAATGAAAAAAAGAGGAAGGAATTCCTTGGACAGTTTATGGAACATCTAATTAAATTGGCCACAAATTGTAAACAACTATATTATCCTTTTTTGTCTGAAATGTTTATATTTTTGTAAGTTAAAATTTATTTCCCAAAGATTTCTAGAATAGCTGAAATCTGTTAAGGCACAAGTTAGAATTGTAACAGAGAAAAGATATTGCTTCAAATCAAATAAGAGACAAAAAAGAATGAGGCACTGTGAAACAGAGATAAATCCCAAAATTATTTACAAAAATAAACTACTGCAAAAGCTTGCTAACCAGATAGTTTATTAGATAAAATACAAGCTTTGAATACCAAGGTATACATTCCTATCTGTTAAAGATAACACATTAGCCAACTGCTGAAATTATAAAATTTCTTATAGAAATATGTTGGTACTCCTACTTGACCATATTTCACTGATCACAAATAAAACTAAAACCTATTTATTTATCGATTTATTTATTTATTGTTGAATGTTCAACCTATACAAAAATATTTAAGTAGAATGCTGAGCAATTCTTTGACTATTTCAGACAGTGAGTGGTTCAATGATATTTTATCTGCCAAACTTGGACATTGGTTTAAAAGCCTGTTAATGAACCCAAAACATACATTTACTAAAAAAGAAACTTCCAACTTTGACAAAAAAGAGAAGCACAACCCTAATTTGCTGACCTGTAGAATGTGTGGCTTGAAAGCCTTTTCTTTGAACAGATGCATCAGAAGTAAACCGAACAAACATTTTGTTTCCAGTAGCCACAAGGGGATCTGGTATCTTGTTACCACATAGTCGTCCAAGAATTGGTGATTTTTCTGTTTCTCCATCAAATACTTCTAAATGATCATAAGCACATTCTTGATGTTGCTCAATTTCAAACTCACTGAAGGCCTATTTTAAAAAAGGAATAGAAAAAAATGTTTTTATATATTGCAAATCATTCAAAATAATTTTGGGGGGGCAGAATATATATATGTTCATCGGGGCATACAAATGATTTAATCCATTCATAACAAGGAAAACAAATAATAGCTTTGCATATACTATGGTTTGAATCTGAAATGGCTCCTAAAGGCCCACGATTGGTTCTTAGGATGGCGCTATGGGGAAGTAGTGAACCCTTTAAGAGGTGGGTCAGTGGAAAGTCCTTAGGGCCCTGGGGACTGGACTCCAAGTGGACTGAGGTAGCCCAGCCTCTACTCTTTTCACTCTTTTGCTTCCAGTCATGAAATGAGCAATGTTTTTCCAACATGTTCTCCTGCCATACTATGCTACCTTGCTATAAGCCATAAAGCGATGGGATCAATTAATCAATTAGAACCTCTAAGAACCAAAATAATCCTCTTCTTATAAGTTGATTCCCTCGGGTATTTTGGTGCAGTAACAGAAAACCATTGAACACAATGTGAAATTCTACTATTCAGCTATTGCAATAACTATTTCAATTAATAATAGTCAGAATTTAAACAGATAATAACAGAATGATATTTTATGTTAAATTTAATCCAGAAGGTATATCAGAAAATTGTAATCAATTATATTTTTTAAATCGTTCTATCTAGTTTTAATGATCACAAACTAGTGAATATCACCCTATCATTAGGTGCTTAAATTGAGAAGAAAATCAAATAAAGTAATATTTTACAAAATCTAAGTACAATAAATTTTCCTAGAATAACTAAAACCAAAGAAAATTTTCAGCACTATTTCTTTATTGAGACCTTACAATGCATATTATTAGAGAAAACCAACATTGGTATCTTATTTTGTTACAATCCCTAAAGCATAAAATATTTGTAAAAAAAATACTTTTTACATAAATATTTTCCATATGTAATTTTGTGAAGTGATCATAATTTTAAGTTTAATGAAGACATACAAAATTGATTCTCAGTGCTGGCCAGGTTATACATTCCACACCAAACTGTACCTCCTCCTACTGCTTCTGACTTTGGAGGAATAAGAGAAGAAATAGAAAATGTAATTCACATCACTTAGTGAGTAGGAGAAACACATGAAATTACTCAACAGAAGCAAGAAAGGGAAAGAAAGCTAACCTTGCTTTTGTGCCATTCCACTGCACCCTACTTGAGAACAACAAATAGAAATGTTTTACCCAAGCATTAGGATTATTACCTGTTATAATCATTATAAGTAAAATAAATGCTCCTTTCATTTGACAAAAAGCATTGGACAGTACAAAAAAAAAAAAAAACTTCCCTAGAAATAGAAAGCAGTATAGGGAAATAGAGTGAACTAGCAGACTTCTGATGAGTTTATTTACCCTGAAGCACAGCATGCAAAACAGGTAGTGACTGGGGATTGTCTTATTAATTTAATGCACTCATCTCTGTAATGCAATGTTAGAGTAGACACAGCTCGTGGAATGAGGAGCCGAATGGGTGTCTGGACCTCTAGGTAGGTCTGTCACTTCATTTAGTTAACCACCTGTCTCATGTCTGTGGTCAATCTCATGTATGAAAATGCTCTAAAAGTGGCCAGTCAAAACTTTTGGTTTTATGACTCTCTCTCAACACGGTCCTCAATCAGCTCCTATTACCACTGTGTACACAGAACCATTCTTAAGATCAGTTTGTAACCAGTAAGAAACCACAAGAGAAAATGAGCTCAACTATACCCAGAGTTCTTTAAGTCAAAGCCTCTCAAGCATAAGAACAATGCTCTCTCAAAAGCATAAAATATTGTTTGTGGAAAATAACAATATCTGAAAACCATTGTATGCTGTGTAATTTTTTCTTTTGCTGGTAAATTATGGCCATTCATCTATAAATGCAAAGAGCATGGAAACCAATTTATGTAGAAGAGAATTTTCTAAGATGAGAGCAATGCTATCTTAAAGTAAAGTATATCCTATAAGTAATTGCTGAACATGGATCAGAATTTACAGACCACACTTTTACAGTCCATTCATTTTGAAAGCTAAGTGAACCTGACACATAAGTGACTATTTTGCTTCCGGTGAAATGCAGGAGTTTGGAGTGAACAATAACATCTGTTAAACAGAACAGAGCATCATCATACAAAGTGGCATTGGCTGTGGGCCATACCGACACCTGGTACTGAGCCAAAAGGTTCCAGTTTGCTATTAAATTACTAATGGAATAAGACTGAATCCACAAGAGTTAAATTAGTCAAAGATTCCATAACAGACAAATATTCAAATGATATGAACAACTCTCATTAAGGCATTAATGAATGTGCATCTTGAAGAAAAGAGAATAGCATGTTAGGTCAATTACAAAGACAGGATGCTCCTTTCCCAGAAATTTGCCTGACCCAAAGATCCACCACAGGTAACAAAAGTTATGACTATCTTACATACTGAGAACTCATAAGTCTGGTCCCTGGGCCACAGAGGCACCCGCGAGAGATCTCTGTATATGTTGTTACTTCAACAAAGATAGTTATAAGTCACAAAAACTGTTACAGGAGCTGTTGGGAAACTGGAATAGCTTCTAAAGTACTCTTTAGAGCTCATGGTGATAAAGTACAGATCACGATTTATCATGTCATTTAATGAAACATGCTGAACCGCGAACTCTACGTCTAAATAAAATAGAATGTGAAACGTTTTAGTCACTGGGAATAAATGCCACAGAAATGTCTCCAGACAACACTCAGGGGCCCAAATATCTTCCACATTCACAATGGGGACAGGAAAGCCAGAAATGCTAAATGCATGAAGCTACAAACAACTCTCATTTTGGTTAAAATGCTTTTCCCGGATTCTTGTTTTAATTTGCTTGTTTGTTTTAGGACTGAAATATTTTTTAAGCGTTCACACTCAGACTCTGTAAGCATTTGAGCATTAAAATTTTGAAGCTTACTCATCCTATGATTATATTTCCATCATTTTAGGATACTAATCTAGATTTTAGGAAGGACACACACACACACACACACACACACACACAAGTAAATAACCATGAGCTCTAGTCAGAAGTCTAATGTACTTCCCATAAGGCAAACTAAGAGATTAAGAAATCCATTCAAAAATTAAGATTGAACTCTCCTTACAGACTGTAGTAATGACTGTTTCTAGAACACCCAAGCAAGCCTAATCTGCCTGGCTGGCCACTGGCCAGGCTTTCATATTCTGTTTCTTCAAATGAATACCAAAAGTTCTTTCATTAAAAATATAGATATTGACTAAAGTTTGAGGTCATGTAGGGTAACTACATGTTTTCACAAAGGACAAGTTAATAAAATGATTACATTTACAATAGAAATAAATTTTAGCTAGGATAAAATGAATATTTAAACTAAAAGAAAGAGACTGATGAATCTGAACAGCTCTGAGATATGCTTTAGAATTTCCTAGTACCAGCCATCTTTCACTTTTTCCTGTCTTCAGTAGGAACTATGGGGCCTGGGGATTTAGCTCAGTGTTGCTGCCACCTGCCTCACAAGCGCAAGGTCCTGAGTTCCATCCCCAGTACAAAAAAAGAGAAGAACTGTCATCTAGTTTCCACAAGATAATTAAAGGAATAGAGGCCACTGGAAAAAAATGGCAGAGTAGAATATAAATTCCAGCCTTCTGATTCAAAAGGCCTTTTCTTTTCCATGGGTCTTGTATAATAATTGTGATCAGATATATTTTATGAATTTGTGGTGGAGAATTCTCTGAGAGTTGTAGAAGAATTTGTTTTTTAAAATATCTAATGTACAAGACGGGAGTGCAACTGCATGTAACTTAGCAAAACTTTAAGACATAAATCAAATAAAAATTACCTAAGGCTACTGTAGTATGTTCTTATGTCTAGAACAATGGTTGTATTTGTTTTTAATGGCGATCAAATCAGACTACGAAAAAGTTACCAAAAACTTGAATAATCAATTTTGAGTTTCTCAAAACCAAAAGAAGATATGGCAAGGGCTATAGATCCTTGGCCCCCTGCATTAAGAACTTTCTCCTTATTCTTATAGGAAGATTTTTTTCCATGCATATTTTGGTTAAAGTTTTTACTTTAAAGCTATCATATAATCACTTTTTGATTAAACATACACATACGCACATGCGTGCTTACGTCAACATTTATTTTAAGTCATTATAGCAAACTACCACAAACTCAGAGGGTTAAAGCAACACAAATCTATTCTTCTATAGCCTTCGATGTCAATATTCTAAAGGGGTAGGCAACGCTAAGTGTTTTCTGGAGGTCCTGGGTAAGAGCACACTTCCTTGAATTTTCCAGTCTTTAGGGGCCGCTTACCCTGCTTAGCTCATGTCTCTCTCTGCCAAGCCCAAAGGCTGGAACGCAGCGTCTTCTTTCCTCTCCGAACTCCTGCTTCCTTTCTGTGACAACCTTACAATCAGGGCACCCAGCGATTCTCCCCATTTTAATAGTATAACCTTACCACATCGAGGGTTATTTTGTCCATGGAAGGTAACACATACACGAGGTCTGGAAATGAGAGCATGGACGAGTTTGCGGAGTCATTGTCCTCCTTGCACAGAGCTTCAGCGCTAAATCTTTTCACCCTCTGCAGTGCATGTAAGTTTCAGGGAAAATGAGCACAAACACACAGGAATTTGTGCTCCCAGATTCTTTTCCTCGACTTGCTTAGCTCTAGGAAAAAAAATTACATCCTACAGGCCTACAGACAGTTTATGAAATAAAACTGTACTGGCGCACAGAATAATTCATTCATCTGCGTATTGTTCCGATTAACAAACTGAAATGTCAGCTGTAAATTTGCAGCATGGGCTGTGCAGTCCATGAAGTCTATATTTGCTGCATACTTTGTCAGAGAAATAGTTTTCTGAAAAGTAATCACTAGCTGCCTTTTCAATTCAGACTTGAATTTCATATGAAAAACCTCTACTTTGAATAATTCAGTAAGAGGGTAATTTTTATTGATTGTTATTATCATGATGATTACTATTTGGGTGTCATGTATCAATTTTGACTGGCTTTTAACAAAGCACCATGAAAAGCATTTCATATACAAGCTCACCTGATATACAAACAAAATCCAAGAACAAACATTACCTCCAATTTCCAGTGAAGGACTCAGGGCCTTACAGGGATGAATGTCTTTCTCAAGATAGGATGGATAGTAAGTAGTAGTGTTAGGACCTAGACTCATTTCTTTACATTCAAAATACATGTTCTGTATTCTTCCATAACTCCCTGGTGTACATTTTACCATAATTGTTACTAGCTCATCTTACAAATATTGTTTTCCACTTAATTCTTTATACATTTAAATTACCAACTCTGTAAACACACATAGCAATTACACATGCATTTCCTCTGCACTACTAGAGATTATAATAGAAAATAAGATAAAATATGGAGAAGGAATGTTTGGATTTTAAGGCATTTGGACTCTTGGAGCTTTATAATCTTGTTAAATTGCGTAAACTCTCTGGGAATGCTTCCTATCTGGCAGTGTAATTTCTGCCAGAAATTGAGATTCTAATCACAATGCCACTTTGAATTCACTAGCGTTGTATACACATTAGTTTCTAATATTGCTTAGCACAAGTACTGTTGTGTAGAACAAGACATGTGCTGTCAAGCTACACAGGATATTTTGGGACACACTCTCAAGAAGAGAAAACATACTTTTATTTGAAAAATTGCATATAACAGGGTGTTCATTTTACAAAAGTTTAAAGGACAGTCCCAAGTTCTCCAGATTGCATCTCTCTAGCTTCCTATACTTACATAAAGATAGTGTTTTATGGATTTACAGATCAGAGCACACATAAGTTAAAAATGTGAAAAAAATCCAAAATATTTCTCCAAAATGAAAATACTCACTTAATATTGTGCTCCTTAGTATTCATAGTTAGCTTTATAATAGCAAATTCACTGATTTAGGGATAAAAATAATGAGTATGGTTATTATGTGGTGTTGACATAATGTAATTAATCATTATATGCAAATTGTTATTTTATATTACTGGACATTATTTACTCCAGCATTAAAGAAAACCACCTATAAGAATTTCCTATTTGTATATCAAATGGTTGTATTAGGTTTCCATTGATGTAACAAAATGCCTGACAACAACAATTTGAAAAAGGGAAGATTTATTTTGGTTCATAGTTTCAAAAGTTTCAGTTGATTATTAAAGTCTCCATTATGTGGGGCCTGTAGCAAGGCAGAACATTACTGCAGGAAGCTTGTACTGGAACAAAGTGGCTCACCTTATGGTGGACAGGAGGCAGAAGGACAGCAAGGAAGACGAGGGACACTGTATAGCCTTCTTGAACACATCCCCAGTGACCTACTTCCTCCAACCAAATCTGTCTCCTACACTTTCCATCATGTCCACATATCTCATTAAGTTATGAACCCATCAATGGGCTAATCCACTGAAAAGTTACAGCCCTCAAAATCCAATCATCCCCAAAGCCCCATCTCTGAATACTGCTGCACTGGCAAACAAGTCTTCAATCCAAGAGCCTTTTGGTCAATGCACCAGATCCAAAATACAGCAGTGGTAATTTAATGTAAAGGTATTTCAGCAAGACATTCTGGATGTTTCCTCTTGAAAGGTGAACATAAGCAATAACTTATTTATGTTAGCCTTACATCACAAAATAAGCACAGACTCACAAATTTAAGTGGCTGTGTAAGAATAAATATGGGTACATATTCTTTGCTATTTCTCCCATTGAAAGACCAAGTCTAATTTTCCTCCACTAGCTTCCTGGCCAGCTTTAGTATTTTGCTTTAGCAATAAAATACACAGAGGCAATTGGGGAAGGGCCTCCAAAGCTTACACAACTATTAAAGACTCAAAACTAGCTCACTATGCAGCAATAAATACCTGATACATGTATAAAAGAGAATAATTATATTATAAATACCCAAAGGCTAAAATTTATATGAATCTAAAACAAATTTACCTCTGGCAGTTCAACTGTCATATTATTGTGAAATAATACACACCTGATATAAATAATCATACTGAAAATACTCATGGTAACTAAATGCTATGAATAGACTGTTCTCATCTCACTGAGGGCACTGGATTTTATTGTAATTCATGGCATCCATAACTGCAGATCATCTAAATAAGCTTGAGACTATAGTGTTATAAGTTAACTAAATCTACCAAATAGTTTCTCTGGTGTGAAAAACTATGAGCATAATTAAGATCCTAATGGTATAATTGACAATGTGAAATAGGAAGAAAAGGGCTAAAGGTGTATGGGAAGTGGGAAGGGTAGGGGAAAGGAAATAAGGGAAAAGAAAAAAATATGAGAAAATAAAAAGTGGAAATAAAGTTTTTGTAAATAGGGAAGGGAGGAGGGGGTGAAGGGAGGGCAGGGATATGGGGAAAAATTGAGAACTAAGACCTGTCATGTAAAAGTACAAAATCCCAATGATGATGTGAATGTACTGCATACCTAAAATGTACCAATAAACTCAATGAGAAAAAAAATAAGTAAACCAAATCAAGACAAATGCCATCTTAGACAAGTTTCGCTAAACAAACTACCACACACGTATCACTTAACACAACTTTGTTAAAATAAAGAAATATCTGGATAATAAATCATAGTAAAGCTCTCAAAATTCACAAACCAGATTAGTTTTATTAAAAGTCTTCTAAAATTAACAGGAAAAATCTTATTTTGTCAACTGCATTGGTTAGCTGCATTGCTGACGAGAATGTAGCCCCTGCACTGCAGTCTGTAAGGTCTGGAATCTTCTCAATCAGGACCTTGGACAGAACTAGAAAGCTGTGGGCAGTCATCTCCACATCTAGCATCCTTCAGAGTGACTGAAAGGAACTGTTGTCTGTGTGAAGAGTTATTTACTAATACGACAAATGGAAGAACTCTGTACTAGGAATACAAATGTGATCATTGTGTCTCATTTTATTATAAAATGATATTTGAATAAGGACCTTTTATTGGCTAAAACAATTCACTGAATGGAACTGGATAAGCAGGGAAATTTAAAATTAACCTATTGGCTAGAATGACAGAAAATTGCTTTGGTTTGGAAGCCTCTTTCCTAAAATATTTTCCTCTTTATTACACTGCCTGTTAGAGTCTTTAATGAGACTTGCTGGCTAGTAATCCCTCTTATTCTAAATGCAGCATATTTCAGGAAATTGCTTATTTTCTACATTCCTATGTCTTTATTACTTTAAAATACATGACTTACAGATAGTATGATCTAAAATAAAGCAAAACACTTATTACCAAATGAATGTACAACAATGTAAGACTCAAAAAATACAGAAGGAAAGGCAAACTATGTATTACTATTTGAACTACTTACATAGATCAAGATGTGAGAGAAATATAAAAATATTAGTATCCAACTACGGAGGGTAATGCATTCTGCAAAAACGATATTCTATAAACTACAAAGTTGATTATAAAATCATATATGTTACGTGTATGAGGCATATAGAACTGAGGTAACCAGTAGAATATATTATATTGTGTTTAAGTGAATTATTATCCTGTTTTTTTCTCTCTGAATTTCTGACTTTCTGTTCTTTAGTGTGTTATTCTATTGAGAAACATCATTACCCACTTGGAAAAATTCATTACTAGTAACAAATAGAGCTGATTGTTTCTAGCAACTTCAGCAATGCCTTTTAAAGTATTTGGCAAAAGAACCCTGAAGGAGAACAATGTGGTTGTCATTTTATCTAGGAAATCAAGGATTTGTTTAATATCGGTAGAAAAGCACAAGAAGGCTAATATGGTCCAGATGCCTACTGGTTTAACTCAGTTCCATAAATATATATTCCCCTTATGTGCTAGTTGTGAAAGGCAGAAAAATCAGCTTGCCAGGAAGAAGAACGGGCTCACTTACTAATTTAACCCGGTGGCCAGGAGTGCCTCTGATCTCCCACGTGCACTCTTTCCTGCTTGGGTACTTGTCTGGCCAGTTGGGACTGGTGATGTGACCGCTGGGGCTGTGGATCTTCTGTTCACACTCAGCTGCATCAATAACAAAAGCATCAGTCATGATCAGGCCAGAAAACAAGTGGCCTACTTGCCCGCTGCTCTGTTGAGAGATCTTCCTGAGAACTAGCTCATCCTCCTTCCCATGGCCGGTGACAGACTCTTCCACTACACATAATCAGGGAATTTTTGTAGTCTACCTCACTGGAAATGAAATGTTTGCTACAAATCAGATACATGCCTAAAAAGAAAATGAACTATTTTAAACTGTTGGACCCATAAGCTCAAAATGTACTACAGCAACATATTTTGACAATCAAGAATATCAGCACTGGGTATGTGAAAAATGTGAAATACATCGCCATCAACAGAAATTAATGGGCTGTGAAATTTTAATGATTTTTCTCTCCATATTAATGGAAACATAATTTAGAGCTTTTAATAAATCATGAATTTACACTTGCTCTCTCCCTTACTTACACATATTACTTGAATACCTAAACTGTAAGTTTACCTGGAAAAGTAAATTAACCACAATTTCATCAAACATGGCTATCATCAATATTTAGGAAATCAAGGATTTGTTTAGCATAAGTAGAAAAGCATAAGAAAATATTCTAACAAAGAATAAGGGAAAAATTAGGTGTACAGGTGCTAGCCTTTGAGATAACTTCTAAATTAATTTCAAAGAGTATCTCATTCAATTAGCATGGGATTTCTTCTATGTTTTTCACAATGAATGTCCCCTTAGCTTAGATATATTAATATCAAATTAAAAAAATATTTGCCATCAGCATGTCAGGTCCACTATAATTTATGAAGCTATACACTGTAAATCTTAGATCAGATTGGAAGTATTTGTTATGCCTTGTGTGTCCCATTGTAAAATACAAATTATTTTGTAAAACTTTCCAAAACATCTACTTGGGAAAATTCTTTAATATCTATCTGAACAATACACTTGTTACACTGCAGGGTTACACATCAAGGCTCCCTCCCCAACACTAATTAATGTAAATGCTGCTGTCATGGTTTCATTCCTTTTCACTAAACCTTCACCTTCACCACAGTAGATTTTCATAGAAAGATTTGGGATTGCAACAGAGGAACACACATGAAAAAAACAGGAAGATGAAATGTGATTTTGTCTAACCAATTAGGATTTGCAAGACAATAGTCTTAAAAGTATGGACCAGGGCCCCCGAGGAGGTAGCAAAGGGGAAGGGCACTTAGCCTACACATGAGGCCCCTGGTTTGCGCCCTAGCACTGAAAAAAAAAATACCTGGACCCATTTTTGACTAAGGTTTCCTAAATTCCATCAACCCTCTTTTTGCCTTGCTGTATAAAATGTAGGATTCACAGATCTACAGTAGCCTGAGACAAAGCTGGGAGGCTCAGTGCTGAAATGTACAAGGCATGTATACTATAGCAGATATAAAAGAAAATTCAACTTCTTTCCTGGCAAGAAAACTGAATTTTATTTATGATTACCTGGACATCATTATATTTTAGAGGAAGTATTTTTTTTCAGATAATTTGAGAAATATTAGCTGTTCTAATGAAATGGACATATTTGCTACTTGTGAACCTTGGGTTACATGCATACTTTACAAAAGTTGTTTTGTTTTGTTTTGTGAGTTATTTTCCACATCTGCAAAAACAACTGGGCCTACTGCTAAGCCTGTTGACTTAACAGCATACCCTACCAAGTTTTAACTATCATGCTTATACATGAAAGTAGAGAGTAATTCCTTTTTGTATATGATTCTGCACAGTGCCCTTCTCTCAAAGGAAAAAAAAGGAAGTTATCCCTCATATATGTTATTACTGGAATGGAAGTGAGTAGAACAAGGTGATTTCAGGATATTCTTTACTATTTTAAAGTGTATACAAAAAGTATCCAACTGCATTTTTAATTAGGCCTTTCCGATTAACACACTCTCATGACTAAAGTTATAATATCTTCCTTAATGATTTTCTTTTCAAAACAGGCACTGATTCAATATAAGTAGAAATTTAAAGAGCCCAGAACAAATAAAAACTGAATAATTTTACTTTGTACCCATCTAACTCAAGGTAGAAGAATTAAAATCATTATTTTTTTAAATAGTGGAATTTTGTAGGGCCTTGAGGACAAAAATCTATGAGCTATTATTGTGCTACTAGTGCGATATTTTGGCCAAAACTCTGACTTGAAATGTTAAGTGGCACAGTAACTACCATCTTCAAATGTCTTTCCTTTGGTAGGCATTTGAATTTGATACTTCTGTATTTATAGAAACATCACTCATATAGTATATAGATGAGATATTTTGGAAAAGGATATTACACCAAATGTAAAATATTTTGTAGAAGTTAAATTTATACATGAATAGCATTATAAGGTCGGTTCTACTAAGACCTGGACGTACTGCAGGGAATTGTTTGGCTACCGGATAGCGTGATAGGAGCTTTTATGTCTTTATACAAAGTGGCTGTAATGTCATCCACATGTGAGGTGTGAAATCTTGGTACTATAATGAGGCTCCCAGGAATATGGTTTGGATGTCTGAAGACTGCACAAAATTTTTCTTTTTCTTTTTTCACCTTTGAAGAGTCAACAGCAATATTGTTCGGTGACAGGATTGTCTATTTCAAAGTAATAGTTTGTGGGCCGGGGATTTAGCTCAGCGTGTCTGCTTCCTGCCTCGCAAACACAAGGTACAGAGTTCGATCCCCGGTACCAAAAATAAAACAAAAAAACACCCCCCAAAAAGTAATATTTTGCCATTTGCCCATCCGTTGGAAACTGGATAAAGAAGATGTGGTTTTTCTATAAAATGGAATATTACTCAGCCATAAAGACAGAGAAAACAGATTCATTCATAGGAAAATGGATACATATTGAAGATATACTCCTAAGTGAAATAAGTCACACACATGTAAATACCGAATAATTTCCCTGGTGTGAATAATCTGCAACAATGCATAAGATTCTAATAAGATTACTGACATTTAGAAATGGGAAGAAAGGAGCTAAAGGTGTAGGAAAGGTGGGATGGGTAGGGGAAGAGTAAAAAAGGGAAAAGAAAAAAATGTGAGAGAATGAAAAGATGAAAATAAAGTGTTTGTAGATGGGGAGGGGAGGAGGGGGTGAAGGGAGGGCAGAGGTAAGGGGAAAAAAGGAGAATCAAGACTTGTCAGGTAGAGGTACAAGATCCCAACAATGAATGTAACTGTACTGTATCCTAAAATGTACCAATAAACTCAATTAAAGCTGAAAAAAAAAGTAATATTTTGTACAAACCACATGAAAACAAAGATCTTTTCAAAATAAGAGTGCTCTTTTCCATACCTTCCTTGCAATCATGTTTATTTTCATGCAGGACAAATCCATTACGGCACTGACACATGTAGCTTCCCACTGTGTTGACACACTCGTGCTGACACCCACCGTTATCCTTAGAACATTCATCTTGGTCTGGAAAGAAATAAAGAGGAACGTTTAGTAAGTCACTTTAAAAACAAAGAATACCAATAGGAGAGTTTAGTGGTGGGGGACATTAGCAAAGGGTAAAGTAAGTGACAGTGCTCCTTGTTCACAAAACAAGCAAAAATTTACAGTATCTTGGTTTTACCCCTTCCTTGTTTAGCGTGGAACTTTGTACCATGGATTGAGTTTCTGAATCTATATATGGTAGTTAACAATTGCAATTCCTTCACTCCTATACTGGAGTGAAAGTTTTAGGTAGGAGAAAGAGAAAATAAAGACATATGTTTTTCCATCTCTAAAGATGTATTGATGAAATTTAGAAAAAAGTTTTTAATTGTGAGTGGTTTAGATAAAGACAGTTCTACACAGAAGAAAATCCTTCTATCTATCTATCTATCTATCATCTATCTATCTATCTATCTATCTATCTATCTATATTCATACTCAGTACAACTACTGTAGTTGATTTTTTTCTTTAAATCTGCAGATTTGCTTAGCATTAATGAATCTGGACATTTAAAAACATTTCAAGACAGAAAAAGGCATCAATTAGGCCATCCTAAAAATAAAGCAATTTATATTAACTATATGAGTCAATCTACTCTGACAGACAGTTTATTAATAAGCCATCCCCTAAAAGGGCTAGAAGGAGAATTAAGATTAGAACAAGCAATATGAGCTTTAAGAAATAGCTACCAAATTGACGACAGGGAAGAAAGCCAAACTGGATGAACAGGCAGTCAATCCAGGGAGAGACATCAGCCCTCACACTATGTCACTCAGCTGTCATCCCATGGCTGGCGTGGCCATTTAAGTCAAACTGGCAGATTGTTCCTGACACACATATATGGTGACACATCACTCACATGTTCATCCCACACAGAGAGAAGAAAAAGAACACAGTGCACCCTTATCAGAAGCTAGACTGAAGTCACGTTTCACTCTGTCAGTTGACTTTTCCACTGAGAACTGCTGAGTTCCTGGCGCTACACAAATTGTGCCATCTTTGCTTTTTAAATCAAGTTAATATTCATCCTCTGGAGGGAGATTGAGGAAAAATATTTTCATTAACTAATCTGATAGCAATTTTTAAAGATGCACCTGTGTTTCCATTATGAAGGGCTGATTACATGGTACATCACACAGGTTACAGGATGCATTCATGCATTGACAAAACAGAACATTTCAGACATACAGGCACTCTGATTCTTTAAAGAATATATCAGGATCAGTGTATTTATGATTTATGCTGTCTCTATCCTGGAAACCTCCATTACTCTTTTAATACTTGCTATGATGAGACTAAGAAAAAAAGAATAAGCATGATTTTTAAAAATTAACAAACAGCAAAATCTATGAGAAGTTTGAAGTCAATGGAGAATTATCTTTATAAAATTGATTTTAGAGCAATTCATCATGACTTTGTGCCCCAATTCCAATAACTGTATCAACGGCAAAGATTATAGTTGATGAAACAGGAATTGTGAATGGTAAGTCACATTCCCAACACCATAGTATATCATCTGCCTGCATTTTCTGATTCATACAGTTAAGCAGGAAAGTGTTGTTCATCATTTTATACTAAGAAAGTTTAGAAAAATATTTAAATACATAATCCTTTTATAATGAAAATAATTCTAATATACAGCATATTTCTAACCTCTAAGCAGCATTCTACTGGAAATATGATCTAATTAGTTTATCTTTCTACATAGAATTGTTTCAGGATTTGATAGAACATGAGCTGACCTGTGGTGATGGCAACAAAGTGAAATAAAATAGAAAGTAAACCCAGTGATATTTTCATAACTTTGTACCATTATTCATGTTTCTGTTGCATTTGAAAAATATATGGAAAAAAGATGAGGAAAAAATGGAAGAGCAGAATAGTATAAGGCTAAGAGGATGAATTACTATCATAATTTATGGAGACATCGTGAAGTATCTGCTATTTTACACTTTCTCAGTTTATCTGTCTTTTCTCCCTTCATTCCCACATCTAATGTTGCCTAATTTAGTCAAGGTCATGTGAACTTTAAGAGCCATCAGTTTTGCTGCTGGAATACATTTATGGGTCATATAAATTTTAGCAAAAATTTAAAGCCAAGCTAATCAAAATAGTAACTAAAAGCAGAAGAGGAACATTGTCATGTCCAGAGAAATAGCCTGTAAAAATATTTTATGTGTCAGTCATATGGAAAGAGAAAATTTCATGAAGCCACCAGAATACTTACAATTGTCCAGATATTTTGCATTATGCAGACAAAAAGATCAAAGTGGCTCTAAGGAATAATGAACAATGTAGTTGTTTAAAGCTACTTATTTCAATAGCAGTTAGTTAATATCCTAATTAAAGTAGATACAATTTTAGATTTTCTAAACTGATGGAAGAGAACATAAGTGAGAGACATGATTTAGATTTCTTACTAATGAAAGGCCATCAAACAAGGAGGAAAAGCTACCGGCAAATTTGACTAATACTTTCACTTCCCCTTTCTACCCTTTCTTCACTGCCCTTTCTCCTCTTCTACGAACTCCCCAGTTGAAGAATGAAAACCCAACAAAGGAAAAGAGGGAGAAAGGATACAGAGTTGTAAACACTTCTGATAATGACTACATAATACATTCAATAATTGATACTTCAATCTATTCCCTTGAAATTTTCTGGTGTTTTCACACAACTGACACACAATAAAAACAGTTTTACTAGTTATAGAAACAAATGTTTTGTTACAGAGAAATAAAAATATTTATTTTCCGCAGATGGAACTCAGTCCCCTCTTTGGGATGGATACGTCTGCTTTCCATGTCTCTGTGTTTGATGAAGAAGGTTCAATTATTAGGGGGAAACGAGCTGATATTTCTCCATCAGAGGCCTGCAGCATACCTCTGAGATGACCAGAGGTCATGGCTATGAATAATACATACTGGATGAAAAGGAAGTGGCAACCTGTAACAAGCTCTTGCAAGATTCAAAAAAAAAAAATTTTCTCTGTGCAGAAGGCTTCCTTAGCTGTAGGAAAAAGAAATAAATTGTCCATGCAATAAAACAGAAATATTCTCAAACTAAACAATCAGGATCTGAAATAAATGGACACACACACACACACACACACACAGGTGTGTACACAGTAGCACAAAGACAATAAAATGATAGCATAATCACCTTCAGAAAGGTAATAATAGTCACTGAGATCTACAACAGAGACAATTTGCTTGTTCCACAAACCTGCAAATATTTAAATATGGCTGATATAGAAAATTTGGATGCAGGATTCAAAATTGTGTGGGAATAATGCAGTTGTGTTACTATTTGCAATTATTCACACTAATTTTATACTTTTGCTAGAGTAATATCAAATTGAATGACACCTACAAATATCCACAACCATTCCATTAAAGAAACACTGCACAAAAACATTTGTAAAGAAGTATCTGTACACAGGGAAAGGCAGATAAAGAGCATGTGGGTTAAAAACACTTGAATTTATAGTTAGAAAGACTGCAAGACACAAATTATTTTATCTAAGTCCTGCATTTGTTACAGACAGAAATGAACCAGGGGTCAGAAAACTAGCATCATTCCATTTTCGACCTTGAGCAGGTCATTAGAGACATCAATGACAGATCACATTCCCACTCCATGAATCCTGGAGGGAGGCTGCTATCCAAGGAGGTTTATAGTTCAAGTTCAGTGTTCCTACTACTACAGAGGTCATGACTGAATCTTTCCATTAAGTCAAGGTTGCCAAAGATAGTAGGATGCATGTGCGCAATTCTCACTGTCTAACATCCTGATTGTATTTTCAAATACGGAACGCTATAGGTGAATGTTTAGAAGCATATCAAGCTCCCCAGCGATTTATTGTTCTACTAGAATCCAATTCCACTATTGAACTTGAACCCATATAAAGGAATTTGACTTTGTTCTGAGCACAACATGGTTAAATGAACTGCATCCTATGCAGATAGGCACACTTGTGTTCTAATACAGTATATATAAAAGTAAGTTTAATTTTACCATCACATAAAGTAAAATCTGTTTAGTCTAATAAAAAATCTCACTCAGAGATTATTGAAGTATCATTTAGAAGATGCCTATGTCACTATATTCAGAATTAGCGAAAATGTGACTGAACACAAAATTCGTCATAGTATCTGAACCCTCTTATCTTGATATTCTTAATTTCCTTATTTGCCTGAATATTAACCAATTTAACCTACTGGTTATAAATATATCCTGGAATCAGTAAGTAGACTATTTTTGTAGAGGGTTTTATAAATTACTTTGCCATAAAATCTATTAAGTTTCCCGTTTTCAAGCTGCAGCATTTTTCATTGGCCAATTTGTGATGCTTAATTGATTTGACATGTAAGTTTTTTAATTTCATGAACATCGAAGTGACAGACATCACTGATGTTAATTAACCTGCTGATATACTTTTTGAGACATCGTTTGGATTTTGCTTCTTAAACCTAAGAAGTATTTATTTAAAAATCTGAGGCTACAAGCAAAAGTAACTCTATGAAATTTTATTAGGTGAGGACATTTTAGAAATATTACTATAAATACATTACTTCATTGCACGCATTAATATTTAAAATATACTTCCTTGTCTTCTTCCTGATGTATTACTTAACAGCAAGAAAGCTACAACTTATTTTTAAATAGCTGTCCCTTCCAAATAACATGCAATCACTTCTCTTTAAGAAGTAAAAAGTATATCTGTTATCTCTGAGGTCGTAACAACACTGAGTACAAAGTATTAGTAATGTCACTCACAAAAGCCATGACCAGCCCTAAGAGGAGGGTCCTTGGGCCAAGATGAACTAAGGTTTCGATGACTTGTAGCACTGAGCAGTGTATTCAACTCATTTGCTCCTTCTGATACATGTATGAATCTAACATTATAATATGAACTTTTGGGATTTAATATCTATTGGGGCTTTATCAATCAATCTACTCAGCTACTGCACTCTATCAAATATCTAAACTAGCTTCTTTCAAAATAAAATATTGTCATGAAATATATTTATATCATCTACATCTAGATCTAGAGTATATAATTCTAAAAATGAAATATTTCAGATGATTATATCAGTGAATATGATTCATAGAAAGTTCATAATTATTGAACAAAAAAATTAGTGATTATTGGCTAATTAGCTGAGTACTACAAAGGCACTCAGTTAATTTTAAAAAGCATAACTGCACAGAGAAAAGAATTAAAGATTATTTGTTCTTGTGTGCTAGAGCACAGCACCTTCTGGCTGTGCCTTATATCTGAGTTATAAGAATTAAAGAAGAGTGTTTAATATATAGTATTGTTCTAAGACACATATACCTAAGCTGTCTTTACAGTTTAGAAGATTTTGTCTGATCAGAATTAACAGGAAATGAATTTTAAATATTTTGAGTATCTTTAAATATAATCATACTTTGAAGTCAATACATGTACCACGTATTTTTAAAAACAAATATTTTGAAAACAAAATGTATGACAAGTGTAAAAAGAATCCTGAATACTTTGAACAGTATAATAAAATGTATTTACTTTATAATTTCACTTTTAAGAATACTTCGTTAAATGGCTCCCAGGCAAGTAGCCTTGTCTCTGAGTAGTCAATAGATCAATTAAAACTTGCAAAACACATGATATTTGTAAAACTGTGAAATCCAGGAAAGTCTTCCTTGCATTTACAATTCGGTTTTGAGTAACATAAGTTCTAAATTAAGGCCCAAGCCTTTTAGAAGGTGATTAAACCTGGAAGAAAAGAGGGCCAAGAACAATGAAGCAGAGGGGCATTGTTTTGAACACCTTCGCTGTGTTATGTGGAGTTCAGTGATGCTTCCGAACCATCAACTTCAATTCTGCTGAAAACCTTGGACAAATCCCGGACATGCTCAATCTCATCAATTTTAAACACAAGGAGATTGAAATAAATGGACTTTAAATTGACTCAGTCCAAATTACCTAATATTAAAATGGAATTGGAATTTGCTTGCCAGCTACAGAGCACAGGAAATTGCTATGCTGTTCATTACAATTTTATCTATATTTGAAGTTTAAAGGTAATGTTTTTATAAAGAGTGATTCTGAGAATGAGAAAATAAGGAGATTTCACTTATGTTTCTATGTTTTTATAAAATTAGGGGAGCTTTCATCAAATTTCAGCTTTTTAAGTGAAAATTTTACTTTGAATTGATAAATGTTATTTTTATTTCAAACACAGGTATGAACCAATAATTATATAAGATATTAAATTGTTTATTAAAATCATTGTTTTCATATTTCTATGTATTATAGTACTATCATTTCCATAGTGACAAAGTGAAATATACTGTTGAAATTGGGAAAAGAAGAATAAAAAAGTGAAAAGAAATGTAGTGCCAAATAATGAGGAAGATGTGTTATTACAATGAGACCACATTTTTCCAAAAACAAGAAAATATTTGTTGAAAAAATGTGCCACTTTTGGGAACAACTCTTCAAATCTGGTAAGGAGCAAGCACTGTATGAAACAATTATTAAGTTATTTTTTTATGTTAGTTGTTCTGGCCTTTACAATGTTACAATGTATGTAAGATCTAATTATCTTAGCACAACATTGCAACACAACTTCGATATTAATATTCCAACTTTAAGTAAACAATTGATACGGCTAGGATAAACGATAATGCATTCTGTGGACCTCCAAATTACATTTCCAGAAAGCTGTGAAGAAAGATCACATAGAACTTAATCCAATCCACGGTGAAAACCTGTAACATACACATAAACGTGTGAGTATTTATACCTGAGAAGAAATGTGCTTTGAAGCCCTTCTTTGACACAGTGTTATCAGATCTGAACTCAATCTTCATGTTGTTGAATTGAGACGTGATCACTTCAGGGACTTCAGCCCCACAGAATTTGCCATGCAACTTAGACTCTGAAGAAAGACCACTCCAGATCTCCACATAATCGTATTTGCAAACCTACAGAGAAAAAAACAAAACATCTTTATCAGCATCACCAGATTGGTGAGTACCAGATGGCTGACGTTTCTTTTTGAAAATTGTTTCGTGCTTTTACCTCTTTACTACCATGGTCGTCAAACTGGAATTAATACGCAAAAACTCAAGAAAATGGTAGTCCTGTGAAAGCTTACACAATTTTGTTGTGACTATTACCTAGATTTGTGCACACAAATGTATGCTTGTTTGTATATATTAATAGCATATATCTTTTACAGAAAATACAAAATGATAAATACAATTGAGATGGATAGTTTTTCAGACGATGGTGCTCATGTGCAGAAAAGCAGCAGTAGCCACCCTTTTAAGAAATATTTTAAGGTTTTAAATTTTAGAAGGAACTGTTAAAGTACTTGTTATATATTGCCTGTTTGCCCTTCCTCCCTTCCTCCCTCTTTCTTTCTTTCTCTCTTTTCTTTCACTGAAGATTGAACTCAGGACCTTTTGCTTTCAAGGCAGGCACAGTGCATGCAGTTTGGCTTCATTCAATGCTGCATCCCAGAAGCAGTATTTTTATCAGGACAACATCATTAATAACTTTCAAAGAGAAAGACAAATAGTTGGTATATGAAAAACAGATCACTGGCTTTTTAAGTTTAATAAAATGCATGACATAAATTCCTCTGAGTTGTTAGATACCCTGACGTTACTTTGTGGGATTGCTGCAGGACAGCAAATAAGAGCTCTCTTCATCGGAATGAAGGCAGGGAATTACAATGAGGGATTCCCAAGGAAAACACAATGAGGCAGACTGACCTGATGTATAGGCACTGCACTAACACCATCAAATTGAAAGAAGTTAAATGAATTTTAAGTATTCTTAAGCAATTCTGTGGCCACGAACAGATGTTTCCATAATACAGGCTTCTTGAGTTCCAACACAGCACATTCTAAAGAACACATTTTTCATGGATGACCTTATTATGTAAATGTGCAATTAGCAAGGCTTAACAACGAATATGAATGAAGCCTGGGGCATGATCTGTACTTGAAATATGTCAACTCATATTAATGGTTCTTGTGATATCAATGTGATGTTAAATAAGCAAAATGTTGCTAGGAAAAATGAAATAAGTGTTTTACCTACTTTATTGCAGGTATGAATTTTGTTTAGCTAGCATAGTATGGGAATGTTTCCAAGGCTAATGTTCTTTCCTATTGATTTTTTCCCTAGGTATATCAATATAAAGAATACAATAATGAAGCCTTAAACTTAATCTAGTATTCTACAAGTCAAGTATTTTCGCAGGCCTTTTATTTTGATCAGATTGATTGTCAAAATACAAAAATACACAGAATTTTCTAATGGTTTTCCATGCAGAAACTCCATGATAAATGAAAGAATCCTTAGTTATGCAAACAAAATTTGTAGATTTCTGTGATTTGTAGACTTCTGTGAATGACGACCACTACTATTAGAATAATGACTTCATAACACAGCCTCCGTTTATATAAACCATCCACAAATCTTTCTCCTGAACACAAATCTCCTGTCTTATCAATGTACATCAATTAATAAATCAAAATATCTCACCTACCACAACTGAAGGCCAAAGAGAACTGTGCAAGTAGAAGTCATTCAACACTCAGTGCTTATCAAGTCACAGGATGGGCAGAGACAACCCATTTTCTACCTTCCCTCCTTCCCTCTTTACTTTCTTTCTTTCTTCCTTGCTTTCTTTTTGTATCATGGACCAAACTTGGGACCTTGCGCTTGTAAGGCAGGCATGGAGCTGATGGCCCCAAGAGACATCCATTTTCAAAAAGCGTAGCTCACATAAAAGCTTTTCTTAAATTCTTATAAAATTTACTCTCCATTTCAACATTTCCCCAAATTCGAGGCAGCTGTTAAAAAAATGATGTTCCATGTGTATCAAACTGCATCTTTCCCATCATAGTTCACACAAGGCATTAAAAATAACCTCAAAAGGCCTGTTGAGTTTTGAGGCTTTACAATGATCTAGAATACATAGATTCATCCCATTTCTGACTTCAATTTCCTTGAAGGAGACAAAAAATTCCGATAAGTTTTTACCTCCTAGCCTAGTAAGAGAATTTTAAATGCTCAACAGGAAGAGAGATCTTTTGCAAAAGGAAAGGGGACCAAAAGAAGGAGAGAAGGTAGGGAAAGGGGATGAAAAGAGCAATTAAAATGTGTTAAGTACATGTACCAGTTTTCCATGATGACTGTGATCACGGTACAATGAAAATATATAGTAATAACAAAGAGCTTTGTCTGTTAGAGGCAAAAGTAAGAAGGAAAATAAAAGTCATCAAAGGAAAGAATGAAATGGATTACATATAAACAAAGAAGAGACAAAGATAGATACCCAAAAGCAAAATTATGTGTAAGCCTCACAAATATTAAAGTATTTATTGTTCCAGGAGCATTAACAGGTCACATTTCTATTCTCAGACTTTACAGATTTCAATAGATATGCATTAAAGACAAAATAATTTTATGAGTTAATTTTATCACATTTAGAAGTATTAAATCATCGTATCTAAACAAAAACAGAAATAAAGTTGGAAGAAAGGATGTTGAAACACACACAAAAAATGAAAGATCAAAGAAAACAAATATTTATAACCTTTTCTCTGGAATTAAACTAGTGTTGACCAATAATGCAAAGAATATTTTTTTAAAACTTCTCATTCTTGGCTTGACATTTATTTGCCTGGTGTGCACAAGGGAATTTTCAAATAAATGTACTGTTTTATTGTAGTCACCCGATAGAAAATTTTACCTGTGATGCAGTAAGCTATATTTGTAAAGCAAAGGTAGCTTCAGCTATGTGTTTTTACTGAGTAAAAAAACTAATATTTTTAAATGTATAAACCATGAGCACAATCTATAATGATGAAAATGTATATAATTAAAATATACAAATGACCACAAATATCATATATCATCTTCTTTGGTGGATGCCTTCCTTATTACTCAATCAGTGGATTTTGGTTTATTTTCCTAGAACATATTATGTAGCATAAAGCTGGCCCTAAATATCCTATTGTTTTTAACAAATTAGGAAATTTGTTAATATATAGTACATTTAAGTATATGGAATAAAAAATACCTCTGGATAATTTTCTTTCTTTCTTTCTTTCTTTCTTTCTTTCTTTTTTTTTTTTTTTTTTTTTTTTTTTTTTTTTTTTTTTTTTTTTTTTT